GAGGCCTTTAAACTCAAGAGGTGCAGAGCAGGAGGAGGCCTCATTCCCGTATGCCCAGAGACTCTTTTGTTTCTTCCTTGCTCCTCTGACAGTCAGATTGGCTTGGGACCATAAAGCATTGCCAGGAAGCTTGGTTGAAGAGGAAGATGCTTTGCCGTAATACTCTGCTGACTTGAGTGGCAAAGAATTTATTGTGAATGGTTGTGATGCAGCTTAGCTTTGAGGAAGTGTCTGTTAAATGTTGAGATACCGATTTCTACTAATTCTGGGTTTGCTGGCAGTGAAGTCTTGTTAAGGGGACAAATAATTCAAACTGTTGCCCAGCCCTTCCTTGGGAGGCACTCTGTCACGCATACACCACAGCGTCTACTGTGAGGGAGGGAGGTTCTGACACTCCCTGCATTTGTAGCAGTGTGCACTATCTCGCTGATGGGGAGAGGGTGGACTGTGTCCCAGGCTGGGGTGTCACTAGTGGTGGGAGTCCTTGCATAGAAATTCTGTTGACTTCACTCGAATTCTGTTTAGTGTCTGTAAAGTGTGGGGCACTGTGCCAAGTTCCCCATCATAACCATATATTTTAGGAAAAAGGCTCATGGGCTTGCAGCAAATACAGCTGCTGCTAGATATGTTTCCTTCTCTTCCCCTTCTTTCTGCGTGTGCCTGGACGCTTGCTTTCAGGTCTGTTATTGCATGTGATTGCCTAGTGGTGATTTTCTTGGCCTAGAAGAGGTGACCTTAGGCCTGAGTGTGCCTGTTTGATTCCCAGACTGCCCAGCTCCTTCGGCCGTGAGTGTTCCTGCATGGATTTAGGTTGCTGTTTGCTCTATTCATTTTCTGATTGGATTTCTTTCCAGGTTTTGAAGGCTGTTCCATGGTTCCCACCATTTATCCCCTGGAGACCCTGCACAACTCCCTCTCTTTGCGACAGGTCAACGAGTTCCTGACAGCTGTGTGCAGGAGTTGCAGCGAATCACATGTCCAGTCTACTGCAGGTACTGATGAGGTGGGCTTGTCTCTGGGTAAGCCAGAACAGACTTGAGACAAGGAGACTTCTTGGTCTTTCACATTATTGTGACAGATCAGCCTAACAGGACTGGCCATAAGCACAGTCTCTGAAACCTGTTCTGGGATGTTCTAGCCCAGGAGTGGGCTATGGGATCCAGCTCAGAGCCATCCTAGGCCACTTACTTGAGAGACAAGTAATCAGTTAGGTCTGTCTGTGGCTAATAAGTTTGGTGATGTGGATATGAATGCCAGCTTGGGAAATATTAGCCTCAGATTCCCAGGAGCTGAGGGACAGGCATGGCTCTGAATTTGCACTGTTTTTGAGCTCTTCCTGGAGTGCCTGCTTGTGGCTGCCGGGCTATGAGCAATTCCTTTATGTCTGTCTGAATATTACTGATCTCTGTATTTTTTTTCTCGAAGCTTTATTTGATTCAATGATTGGCAGCCAGATACCAGGAGACCCTTTTATGTCCCAGCGAATCCTGTCATCATCCTCTTTGCCATTGCGCCAGCGTTCGGATAAGCCCCCTTGGTGTGAGTGTGCTCCCTTGATCAGGGTTGAATGTGATGGAGAGGGAGGGAAGTGAAGGATGCCAGATGGTAGAAGCCAAGTATTGGTGTTCAGGGTGTCTATGCTCTTCCCTTGAAGGAACAGAAACAGAAAGGGGAAATAGGTAAAAGGGAAAGTAGTCATATGCCCTGTGAAAAAGCTTCCAAGGAAAGATGCAAAAAGGGACTCTCTGTAGAATTGTATATCATGGGTATATCTACTGTTGGATGGATGCTGTCTCTCCAGACATCCTTCTACTTTGGGCACTAGGACATGGAGGGCCTGAATGCACTTCATTTTCAAGTTTCGTGATTCTCCATGACACATGGCCAGCTCAGTGTTGGAATGTGGAAATGCCTTCCTTTCCTAACCAGCTATGTACATGCCTCACGCAGAGCTCTGTATAGGACAGCTGATCATTCAGTTCTTCACTTACAGGCTTTTCTGCAGCTCCTGGGCCTCACTTGTCAGTCTCTGCAGAGCTGGTGACTGTTACTTAGTCCCCTTTGCAGATCTGACTGGCACTCGAAGGGGAAAGGGTTAGAAAACAGCTGCACAAGCCGGTACCTTAATAACACAAGTCAAGGTTGCCACTGAAAGAGCAGTCCTACTCTTCTCCTGGCTGTACACTCTTTGTGCCAGGAGTAGTGTGTGGTGTGTTTGTGTAGGCAGCAAGGTCAGGGAACTGATCTGACTGCAAACAGTCATTTAATCTTCCCTCCTTTATTGGTTTAGATATAATCTAGATCTATTCTCTAGTTTTGCTCGTTGTACGATATAAGGCAAGAGTAAGCATTAGTGGAGAAGCAATATTTCTTCTTCCAGTGGTGACTCCAGCTCAACACTCAGGGATTGTGTCAGGAACCAAGAGGAGCAAAGTTGAAGCTGAGGGTGTTCCATAATAATGAGGTCATGAGAGAAATGGCTTTTCAGTTCAAAGCCCAACATCACACTTCACATTTTGCATGACAGCAGAATCCACTCTTGGCTATATGCCAACATAGCACTGTGTGACACAATGCAAGTGTAGTGTTTGTGCTTGAGTTTTCACCATCTGAGCTTCCAGAAATACACCTAAGAGCAGCTGCAAGTCTCTGCCAGGTTGCATGGCGTGTAGACAACTCTCACACATTGGTTGTAGAATTGTGGGACTGCAACAGCTTGGGTCTGCCCAGGCTTTGGGCTGGGGAAATACCAACTAAATGTTTAAGATTTTTCTTCCTCTTTGCAGACAGCAGTGGCCCCTCCAGCACTGTCTCCAGTGCAGGCCCATCCTCCCCAACCTCTGTGGACAATGGCGCTCGTTTCAGCTTCACTGAGAAACTTTCCATCAGTCCCCCAAAAAGTGAGGAGCAGCTGTCTAGCCAGTTCCCTGAGCAAGGAGAGAGACACCCTCCAGGCAGAGGGCTTGACGTGGAGGTGGGGATGTCTGGGCTGTTGGTGGCGGAGCCAAGTGCCTCAGACACCCTGACCTGGCATAAGGGCCCAGAGTCAGGTATGGTCCTGGAGCTGTGCAAGAAGGAGCTGGCAGTGGAGGACCTTAACCCAGAGGAGAAGAGCATGGTGGAGCTGGATGAAGAAGAATCATCTGGGGAAATGTTAGAGCCAAGTAACACAGGGAACCCAGACTGTGGTGCAGTGTCTGATATAAGGCTAGCTGCGGAGAGGGTGAAGCCAGGTGCGGAGTATACAGCAGAAATGACTGGCCTGGATCAGTCAGGGCTGTCCAAGGAGATCTTGGTGCCCTGTGAAGAGGAGCTGCTGGGAGAGGTGTTGGACCCAGAACATACGGGCAAGGAGCTGGTGGGGGACAGTGCTCTGTCAGGCCAGCTTCTGTCTGGTCACCCATGCCAGGTGCAGCCTCTGCCTCCTGAGAAAAGCGCGGAGGAGCTGCAGCTGCTGTGTCAGGAGGATCAGCAGAATTAGCAGCTCACTGGACAGCACACTGCACGTGCTTCTAGCCTGGAGGCAGCCCAACTTCCTGCACAGCACCTCATGCAGCTGGCTGTCCACAGCACAAGCCATCTCCCAAGGCCACAGGACTCTGGGGTGTGGAAGAGTCTGCTCTGCTCCTCCACAAGCCAGCTCTTTGCCATTTGGCAAAAGACCACCCCATCTGCCTTGTTAAATGAACAACAAATGCAGTCTTGGTACTGGCATTGCACCTCCATGGAGCAGGGATGTGGGGCTGCATTGGTGTCGCAAGGGCTGTATGCTTGCTGGGACAGCGGAGTTAGAGGATTGGTACGGCCAAGACTTTTGGGGTGGTAAGTCCAAAGGGGACAGATGCTCCCTTGAGATTTTTTGGCCTTCAGAGAAAGGCATTCTGGGCCCAAAGTAATTGGATCCATCACAACTACCAACCTCCTCTCTGTTCCTTCCTTCTTCCTCTCTCAATTCCTACCACTGGCTACCAAAAACAGATCCAAGAGAGTCCACGGCAGGAAGACTAGGAGAAGCAGAAAGCATTCTGAATGAGTGTGGGAAAGAGAGTAACGAGGGGATCAGGTTCAAGACTGCCACTTGCAAGAAAATGTTTCTTTGGCATGGACTTGAATGTTTTTCTGCTGAGCT